AATCACAAGAAATATAAAGAAAACTACATAGAATTAAAGAAACAGTAAATTTACCCTGGTTTTACCGATTTGAAACCTACAGCCAAAATGTCAAGGCTAACACAGATAGAAGCACTACTAGTAAAGGGATACTCAAAACAGCTGTGGAAATTTTCATAATCAACCTCGATCAGTATATCCACGATGCGGCAAATAGCATATTTAATATATAGGACACTATACAATATGACCGACTAATAAGAAACGTATCATTTGTTATGGTTAAACAAACAGCACAATGAAGTGTTTACATAGCATGTAAACAAATCAAAATATATGGAAAAATACAATCTTTGTATAATTGTAGATTTTAAAACTGAAGCTAAATATTCCAGCGTTTTCAAAACATCAGTCAACTATTTCATTTATAGACACGGCAACATTTACGGGTAAAATTGATTAATGGTTTGGAAAAACTTTGGAGGAATTATAATACGATTTAAATAAAAAAAATGAGCTCATTGCCGGCAGAGATGATTTCGGAAGTGCTGTACAAAACCTAATAACCATTAATATGAACTGTTTGATAACATTGCATCAGAGATTTACTGTTTGGTGGAACGTTCGCCACAGATGTAGGATCAGAAAAGGGAACTACAAAAGTTGTGTTATTTTTGCATCTCATTCAATCGAGCACTTGTAGCGTCAACGCAAGTGTCATTGCTTGTCAGTCTTTAATTATCTGTCTTTCTTACACACTACAATCATGTTGACAAATGATACACATTCTACCTCTTTTTAAATTAATTAATTCAGACTCGAAATATAATAGAAAGTGTCGCTATGACTACTTTTAGTATTGTAGACATGTCAAAAGTGTTGAAATGTGCGATTGTTTAATACTATCATCTAGTACCATGACTATGAAATGTGGGTTAAAATATATCAACTTTGTTCTATCTGCATTATAGTTGAATAACCTCTGAACGTCTGCTTCGTTTGTTCATTCATTTCCAGATTTTAAAACTGAAGCCTCTAGTATAGCGGTCACTGATGGTCCAACAAAATTACTTATTACACAGTTTGATGAAGCTACAGGTCAGTTTTTTCAATCAAAAGTCATTATTCATTTATTGGGACGTCGTAAAGGCTATTTTAGTGTTATTATCTAATAACATGCAGATATAAATTAAGACATTGATGCGAAATATTAAACCAGTCTAAAATGCAGAACTATTCACTGTACATCTAATTGTTTACTGGTTACGTGTCTGTGTCTGTGAAAGCTATTTCATTGTCATTATCTAATAAAAGAACAATGATGCAAAATATTGATCCAGTCAGAAAGGCAGAAATATTTACCGTCCATCTAACTGGTTACGTTACTGTGCATCTTGGTGTTTCTGTTTTTGTCGCATATGACTTACTCATCAACCAGAATATGTGGTTATATTCCAGATTAGATAAATTACAACTACATATTCAATTTTATCCAAAGAGTATAATATTTCTTAGACAAGTCAATTTGTCTCAATTGTAAATTTTAACTTTCTTTGCAGATTTATCAACAAAATCTATACATACAAGCGTTGCAAAGCCATCTACCCAACCAACAACTGCATTAATAGAAGAGACTACCTTTACTGGTATGGCGAGTAATTATGCCTCGAATATTAAAAACTTGAAATTGAAACTGTTTGAATTAACGTAATATTCTCCCCTAACACAGAGCATAAAGCTTAGGAATATATATACTTGCACTGAGCACTGAATTTATATTATGGCATACCATTCTTTTACCCTATGACAGTGTAACACACATTTGATAGGAATATTTGCAAAGTGATTAACCTTCATTAATTGCTTTTGTGATGATTTGTCTTTTTAAATATGTATCTAACAATTTACGTTTGAAATACATTTGTTAAAACACTTATCAAAATGAAGCAACTGTTGAAATTTACACATTAAATATTATGTCAAATATTATTGGTGAGATTAATTTCAATTTTCACAGAAGTTTGGACTTTGAAAGATATGAATGATTTGACAACAGTGGAAGAAGCTATAGTAGCAACTAGTGTGTCAGAGTCACCATATTTGTATGCATGTACTGTGAAAATTGATAAAGATTAGATTGAATATGAGAACTTCCCGCCAATTTTTGTCAGAAATAATGTTAAAACTGTAGACTATACTAGACTGCCACACGCACTGTGTTCAAATAATCGACTGGTAGTGAATGAACCAAATTGTCCAAGATTTGCCCAAACGTAGAAAGATAACTTGCTATGGAAAACAAACATATATATGTCATTCTGGATATATTGTTTTAATTAAAGATGACATTTAACACAATTTTCAAGAACATAGCCTGGAATGTGAAATTATTAAATTGTGCAGTGATGTTGTACTTTATGTTTTGTCATGTCATAAGGTCGCTATCAATGTGCTTGTATTATGATTGTATTCCTTAATTGGAACAAAATAATCAGATTGAACTATTCGCATTCGAAATCTTCAGGACATGATGCCATATGTAATTCTATGTCCTTTGTTTAGGCTATAACGTAGCTCTACCATGGTCAAAATAATCATCATATCAATAATACTTATATTAAACTGATAGTCAGTCGCAGTGTAGTCATGAACGACTAATTAGGGAACAATACATTGATGGCATTGTGTGTTCACGTAATAAATATTGTTTTTATTCCCATACAAGGAAAATAAATAAATGGATAATAATATATTTGTAATAAATATAGATATATACTTTACAAGATATTGTTAATTCAATAATGCAGAAAAAAATGTGAATCCCAAATATTGCTTTAGGAACATAAATATATATTAAATATATAGAGAAGAAATTCCAGATGGAATTTATTTTACATTGCCACTTCCATAAGTGTAGTTATATTTCATATTTGAAGTTATTGAAATTAATTTCATTTTACACATCTGATTATGGGTCAAATGTTGATTTACTTATACTTATGCCAGTAGTTTTTCGTCACACATCAACAATTCATATATTTTATGTCATTAGGTCCTACCACAAGTAGAAAGATATCGGATGTAGTTGAAACAAAGTCTATTATTCCACATACAGATGTTACTACTGAAGAATTTCAATCTGCAGTCAAAGAAATTACTCTTCCAGGTCGGTTATATCAATTTCTCTAATGTTATTGGGTAGCTTATTTTAACTACATGGAAGTTGCAACCTCTGGAAAATAACATAAATAACATAAATAACATAAACATGATAGCACAACCAACAGTAAATTGCTTGTCGTTTGTGTGAACTTTTTTTATCTAGATTTTCTACTATATTAATTGAAGATTTCAGGGGTGTTGAATCACAACTTGTGATCGTCGTGCCTAAGTACAACCTAGCCACCTGGTTCAACTTGTTACGAGGGTCATGTATTATACAGTCATAATAACACTGGGCATTTTAATCTGGTACAATTCCGTTGGACTCAGTTGTATTTAAATTAGTCTGCAAACAAATTAACGTCAATAGCAAGAATATTTAAGTAATTGGAAATTGAGCATAGTTGCACATTTCGATGCATCTCATACAATTCAACTCACCTGCGTCTGAGTTGCAATTGTATAAATTCATTAGGCCTATTTGCTGAATAAAAACTCATATGAGTAATAAAGCTTAAATAAAAAAAACACATTACAACAATGCATCATTTGTTGTGTTGTTCTAGTTCGGTATACAGCTATTTCCTTTCTGTTGTTCTGCCACGTGTTTTTTTTTTCAATTCGGCTACGTCTTCCATGTAAAAGTGTTGGACTTTGCCAACAATAGTAAAAAGGAACTCTCAATCTGTCTTCAATATTCAACAGTTGATCCAGTATGTTATTGATTATTTGCATCCACTGTTTATAATGTCGTAGGTTCAGTGTTGGTGGTGTTACCATGCATGTGCATGTGCCTAGTTAAGTCAATAGAGTTCTTAATGTCCTTCTTTTATGCTTTAAAATAGCGAAATATATTGTTGAATCAATGTTGCCAAAGTATATCAAAATTATTTGTGTAATAATTTAGCAAAAAGCTTTTCAACATTATGCTGCCAGTTAGTATGACTGAGTGTATAGCGCTAATTTTGTGTGTTACGTGAATGCATGTAATTACTATGTATTTAACTCTCTCACCAACTAGAAGATGTAATATTATATGAGCAGATAATTTAGAAAAAAAAATATTTATTTATCAATAGCCCCAAGGGAGCAACACGAGTTAAAAAAGTCATATATCTTTTTTTTTATTATTGAATTTAACTATTTTCTAAGATTTCACAGCTGAGGCAATACATTCCAGTACTGTTAAAACATCCGCACAGCCAACGACTTCATTATTAGAAGAGGCTACAGTAACAGGTAATGTCATATAAAACTATCAATTACATAACAATGTATATTAAAAAATGTAAACATCTAAGCATTATTCTTTCGTGTCGTCGGCTTTGGATAGGAAATAATTTTCTTATTATAAATTAGTATTTGGTGTCAAAAATAATTATGGTATTGCAAATTACTGGTTATTGGATGATTTGTTAAAATTTGAAAATATCAACCGTATTTCAATAAATCATTTATTGTTAAATTGAATATTATATTACCAATATTTCCAAACATTTAGGTATACTTAGTACCTAGCAAAACGGTGTTCTTAAAACTATTCAAATATTCAAATTAGTAATACCACATATTTTGCAAACTTGTTCAGGATTGCAATCCAACGGATATTTGTTTTTCATGTTTCACAGAAGTTGTTACTATGTTTGAAGCTTCTGATTTAACAACATCAGATGTAGAACGTCTAACAACTTCTAGTGTGCCGGCATCAACAACGTCAGCTACAAGTATTGAAACAATTGATGGAGGTTAGTTCGAACACATGCAGTTAACAACTACCTAACATGTATTGTTGATTAAATGAGCATTACCTTGGTAGATATGACTGCGATTTACAGCACTTTAGGCATGTTTGGACGAGATACTCCTAGTCGACTGAGTGGAGTTGAAATGAAATGAAATGAAA